TCTAGTTTCGCAGTATATTTTGGCCACTAAGGTGTTAGGTAGTGGCGTTTGGCCGCAGCGATCCACGTAGGACTATCCCTGCCAAGATAGAGCCTCTTTACTTAAATATAAAAGGGATGTCTTCTACTATCGTGGCTATATAACTTAGAGTTTACTTTATGAGAGATCGTCACTAAAGCAATAACTAAGAGCAGAAAATCGTCAACTCTCTCTTTCTCCCTCGGTGCATTTATAACTAAGGCCTCCTAACAACATTATTATTATTCTTAGTCTAGGTAAAAACTTTATCATTTGCAGAATGACCCTTAAGTATTATATATAGAGTCATCATTCTCCTAAATATTTAGGCTACTTATATTTTCTTAGTTTAATATAATCCGATATTATTAAGTTCGTTATCGGAAAAGAAAAAAGGCGGTTTTCAGTGTATATAGAGTTAGCTAGCTCCTTCCTAAAGGAGATTCGTAACACCCCACTAATCGAGAGGATCGAAGAGGTAGTATTTAGTCGTTGCTATAAGTTTTTATACTCTGGCGATTACTCTACCCCGCCGCTGGTTTTTGAACCCTATAGCAGTGAGTATAGCGATAGGTCCAAACCCTTAATCGGATCTATAGGAAGGTAGAATCTATCTGATCTCACTCGGAATCTTTTCCATCCAACAACACTATCCCACATTTATATAGACCTACGTACGTAGCTTTATCCAACCAAAAAATATTTCGACATTAAAGGACTAGACACCGACCCTACGGACAATTATTTAGAAATATTCCTTTACCACGCTAAACTATATTACTTCGCCTATAGTACAAACTAGACTTCACTATGCCTTTTATCTCTTTACTACCTAGTATAATTGCTCGCAAACTTTACCCTTATCGATAAGCGAACTAGTGACATTGTTAAATTAATCTAATTTGCTTTTATTAGAAGTGAAGAAAACATACTAGATATAAAAACCATATTACGAGACTATACTTTGTGGAATGCGGAGGTCATAATGCGGAATATCGACTTCCTATAACTCCTTAACAAAGTCCTATCTTTGGAAAAGGCTATATTCCGCTCGATGTGGAGGTAGAGCAGAGAGACAACTTATATTTACTTACTAAGATTTCCACCAAGAGTAGTGTGAGTAGTTATCCTAGGCTCAGTAATACGTTCCTACCTTAGTCCTACACTAATCGATAATAAGTGGTCGTAATATGCGGGATATATTAATGATGCTCGTGATTTCGATTTTCTTAAGGTCAAATAGCTTTTATTAAACGGCATAACATTAAAGGACCTCTTATGACAACTTTGTTACCGGGATATAGATAGACTGCGCCAAAGCCCACTGGGCCCATGGGCCGGGCCCAACCCAACCCCCTATGGGTTGGGCCTTGGGCCTGGTTCTTGGGCCCATTGATGGGCTATGGGCTGGGATAGAGAGCCCATTGGGGGCCCAATGGGCCTAAGTGGGCTACAAACATTACAAACATAGCTTATGCAAAAAAACGTGATGTTTTAGGGTGGTAATTTTACTACTAAAAAAAAGGATCGCTAAGAGAATCGAACTTATGCCACTAAAAATTCAACTCTAAGGATAACCACTAAGCTATTCTAACTAAGAAATGTAATTTTCCTTTATAGGAGCTATTATATAACTAAATTTCTAAGGTATTTACAATTTTTAAGATTAATACCCTATATATCACGTGATTTATAATACTATGTTTTAGATATGTAAATAGCCTATTTATTAAGGTAATTTTTGTATCTAGTTAGATAATTGTATTTTAAATAGATATATATATTTATAATACTAATAAAAAAAAGGAATTTATTAGATTTAGTAATATTAAATAAAATACATTATTCTTTAGAAAATATAGGTCCATCGTAGGATATATATATATATATATATTACCCTAGGTGTCAGGATTTTAGGTGTCTGCATTTATAACTGCAGATTTCTAGAGCTTCCAATTCAACATGGAAGTTCCCGCTGAAATTCCCGTTCTGCCATTTCTCACCGCCTTTATCTGATCTTGCAGTTATCTCTCATTTATCTCTCACTTTGCTCTCACTTCAGCCTTTACTATGCTTTCTCTTTCCATTTGCCTACCGGACCGAGGTTATTAGGCCTATCTTGTCTATAGCCGCGGGTAACAACACGTTTACCTACCTCGGGTAACAGCACGTTTACCTACCTCGGGCAATAGCACGTTTACGGCAAGATTACCTCGGGCGAATATTACCTTAGGTAATTAGCCAGATGAACTGAATATTTGTCTATAAATATAGCCTAGAAACCAGACTAAATAAAACAAGAGCTTTCATCTCAATTATTCTCTTACTACCTTTCTCTCATAAAGGCAGACTAAAGAGACCCTTTATCTTTATCTACATCCATCTTCCTGGGGTAAGCTACTACGCCGCAGTAGTAGCCGACCTCTACGGGAGGTAGTATTTCTCTCTACAAATATTTGTCCTAAGGACTGCCCTGCCGCATAGGGACCCTTAGGCATTTATTTATCTCTCTTATTTTCATATACTACCAATCCCGACACTAGGATACTAAATATATTTATATTTTATATAATACTAAACTATATCTATAGATCTTATATATAAATATACTATATATTAATATAAATCTATAAAGTATATATAAAAAAAGCTAGAATACAGTGTATTAGAGAATACAAATGCATTATTTATAAGCGTATTAATGTACATTAAGACCTAGATTTTATGCAAAAATGGGCCTAAATGGGCCTAAATGGGCTGAAACCTTCGGCCCATCGTGGGCCGTGGGTTGGGTTGGGCTTTTAGTTCAGGGCCCACGGCCCATGCGGGTTGGGCCTTGGGCCCGACCTCTGGGCCCATGTATGGGCTTTGGCGCAGTCTAGATATAGATCATTTTTAGGTTGAAGGGTCTCTTTCCATTTCAGTTTCTCGTGTGCTTGTCTCGACTAGCTATAATTTAAATAATAGGTCGGAGTACTTTTAAGAGCCTTTTGGAATTAAACTTCTCATACTTAATATCCCTGTATTTATGGGTTCTAGATGCGATACTGGAATACTAAATGGAGGTCTAGCTCGTAGATGTTAACCTATTCCTTGCATTAAAGCTCCGTTTCCAATGAATACAACTTCCCCCTATATCGAATAGAAAAATGAGTCTCAGTAGGCCCTAGAAGAACAAAGAATACGTCTGAGTGCTTTAAATAGAGATATAGGGATTTCTACCCTACGGTGCTTGTACTTGGGTCGGATTTTGTATTCCAAAATCTATCCCGTGCGCAAGGTCGCAAGGTCGCTCGTCGGCGGGAGCATCATTTATATATAAGCAGTCGGCAACGGCAAGGAGGGTATTTGAGCGGCGAGCGATACTTTGATCGATTGATTTAGGAAAACGCCACGTAGGTCAAGGAAGGGTTTTTGCAGCGTGTTGGCTTAGCGTGCCGGCTCAGCCTACTGCTTAAGTGTTTCGATACTAGATATAGCGTGCTTACGCGTCAGCATTAGTTCCGGTAGTAATTCGCACCCTTATCGACATCTAAACCCAGGAGAAGGTAGCGACGTTTCTCAGGGGCGTGTATTTTAGCATTTGTGTTCGTGCTTTTGCAGAAATGGATCTGTAGGCCTCTTGCGTCGATGCTGTGGCTCACCGGCATCTCACGAGCCCAGCAAGGGTAGGCCTGATGGGGCCTGAAATCAGTCGTACTGGCAATTTTATTAACGGTGTATTGCGGGACATTTCCGTTGCGGGACATTTCCGTTGCGGGAGAGTCGACCTTTAGAATTGGTTCTAGCGTGAGCGTTGGCTCGAAGACGTAGGAGGTAGAATATCGATTGGATAGGTGAAGCACACCCACTAACGGAAGCGGTGTGGGTAAGCGAGGTATAGATTAAGGTTTTCTGCCTAGGTGAAGCGGTACCCCGCCTCGCGAGAAAAGCCGGATGCAACTTCCAACCTTACAATTTCATTTAGCTTTAGAGTAGAGGGTTCGTATACTAACCCAGTCTCGGCCTTATTACTAGCACGAGACATAGGATCTTATATCTTACTAGATAACGACAAGCTTTATCAGCCTCAGGAATACAAGGAAGACAGTAAAATTCCTTTTGCACCCGACGGCAACGCGTCACTTATCTGCGATTGTGTTGAAAAAGTCAGAGGGATTTCCGGTCGTTTCAAAGGTCTAAAATGCGTACGAAAGACTATCATACTGCTATCTAAGGCAGATCCAGAAGCACAAGAGATCCAAAAACGCAAACTTATACAAGAAGCAAAAATCCTCCACTACGCTCGTCACCATTATGTTATTCGTATCGTTCACATATATTTCGAAAACAAGAATCGGGAGTAAATCAATTTTGCTGTTATTATGGATTGTGTAGATAGAAACATGCACGATTACCTCAGGCCTAGAATGCTTCCCAGAAGACAGTGGTTCAGATGTTTGATTAGTGTAATACACCACATCTATACATTAGGGATTCGACACCGTGACATAAAGCCTAGCAATATTTTGATCAAAGGCCAATAGGTCCTATTGGCAGATTTCGGTATATCACAAATAGGTCTTAGGAAGACACTGCCAACCACAAACTTACACCGTAATGCTCAGAGGACACGGGAATACTGTGCCCCTGAAGTGGACCAAGGTCGCACCTATGGTCGGTCAGCGGACATTTTCTCCCTAGGCGCTATATTTCTCGAAATGCTTATTGCTTATGCCTATCCTAATAGGTATAAAGGGCTTAATGAGGTCTTAAAGCGCCCATCTCATCAAACCCTATCCTACGCCAAGAACATTGCCGAGGTTCATATATAGATAAATAAGAACCTACACCCTGTCGGTTGGTAAGTGAATGTTCTTTCTATCTATCAAAGAATGCTGTAGTCCAATCGGTCTCAGCGCCCTGTGGCCGAAGAACTATATACGATTTGGTCGTCATTGTCAGCGTCTATAGAGTGTATTACTTGCCAATGCGAAATAAATATGGCCATGACAGACGACAATAAGCTAGTAAAGGCATGCAAGAGGGGTTTAGAGGACGATGTGATCCGCCTGCTTAAAGGCGGTGCCAACCTAAACACAATTAGCGCAATCCACTATGCTGCTGAACGTGGATCAAAAGCTATTGTGCAGGCACTGCTAGATGGTAGTGCAAATGTTGACATTCCGAATCCTGTTGGATAGACAGCACTTCATTATGCAGCTCGTAGTGGTCATGAGGATGTGATCAAACAACTACTAGAGAATGGTGCCGACGTGAACGCGAACGACGAAAACCACTAAACGGCACTTTATAGAGCAGCAGGGCAAGGATATAGCGAGATTGTCAAACTACTATTAGAGGCAAATGTTGATGTCAACGCAGAAGACATCGAGGGAGATACGGCGTTTCACTTTGCGGATAGGAGGGAGCACTTCACTGTCTTAGACCTATTGGATAGCTATATTCAAAATGTGGCATAGTATATAAATCTTCCGCCCAATAATTATTCAATATTTTTTAGGAAAGCCTAAGATGATGCTGTCTGTCAATTTTTTCGTATAGTCATTTACCTACCTGAAATCTGTATCTGTTTATTGCCTTAAATACGTCGTATTATCTGCTAGACCTAGAAATACCTATTCACTACCAAGAAAGAGTATATGAACTTCTGAATCATTAAGGAAACGCACTGAAAGGGCATTATGTCTTCCACCTACAACGAAAATATATTCGAAATCTTTGCGAATCAGATAGAAATATCTTTTAGCTCCTCAACTACTAATTTAGTAAATATTTCCTGTAGTTGAATTCCAAATTCGGGGCTATAAGTCTTATCATATTCCTCCTAAACGCACAATCCTATGTCTCCGTACGTTACGAGACATCGACTGACCGCTTTCCAGTACTTATCTCCAGCAATGTTGCGTAATTCGGACAAAGGGTTTTTCTTGAAAGGTGGGTAGCGCTACTCTCCTAAGAGCTAAGTGCGGATGCTGGAGTTCTGCGTAACCGGCGCCGGCCAACTCTTAAGACACATTATTTCGTGTAAAGGTTTCCAATGTGCAATTTCAAGTAGAACCAAGCCAAGGCTATATATATTATATGTTTTTCGGGAGTTTATTGCCTTCGGTGCATCATTCTATATACCTGGCCATCGATAGCTGTCCCACTTCGGGTCAAGACTGCGTGAAGTTGTTTTGTTGCTCTCTAGTCGTGAATAATCAAAACCCGATAATACGGGTCTCTCGGCGTCGAATACGTCCCCATCAAACGAAAAAATGATATTTCCACTATGGACTCCTTTATGTAGCCAATTAGCTACATAGAGGTATAGGAGAGAGGACGCCAATTTCTAAGCGAGAGAAACTCGTTGCACGAGAGTGGGCTTATAATAGTCCTAACCCAGGATGCTATAAAGCGTTTTTAACTCGGTACCAGTAACTGACCCGACGGGCATCATGAATATCCACCTATAGCAGTTATTCCTTTCATAATCATCGATATATCCAACGCAATTTGGTGCACAAAGATATAGTGGTTTGCTGCTGTAGAGCATCTCTGCAAGAATCGCAGTCCGCAGTTTGGACTCTTTATCCTGAATAGAGCCTTCGGTAATATTCTTAACTATCTTCCATTCAAGCCAAACCTCGACGCCCAGGCCATCGATATATAGGGTCCCCCTACATCGGTGCGACCTAGATAAACCACTCTTATCTTCCGGCTCTAGAAAAAGACCTTTTAGGGTGATTGCATCATACTGCTTAACACTGATTAATCCTTTCAGCTCACTCTCGACGCAAAAGTCTATGTCAAGTTTGATCTTCAACTTGATTTCGTCGGATATACGGTTTATTTCTTTCAACCGTAAAAGGTCCCAAAGTGTCAAGTTATTTTCATTATAGCAAGCGACGCTCGTATCATTGGCGCCCTTAGAAATATTGATTAGGCTAGTGACCGCTTCAAGCATATTTTTTAGGTCTTTCACATCATCACGAACGAGAACCATCTCTTGGTAAATCTTCGCGGTAGTTTTATGGATGCGTTTCTCACGATAGTCTCCCACCAACTCGTGTATACGCTCCGTCAAGCTATAGATGTCTTTAAGCAATGCCTCGAAAGCTTCCTTATCGACTGCAACCCAACGAACGCGGAAAGGATAAGTAATGATATCTTTAGCATTTCCGCCTCCTTTCAACATCCACTTAATGATATGGTCAGTTCGTCGTAAGTGCTTGCGTTCTTCCTTGGTTCTCTCGTAGGCTATTGCCAAGCTTGAGACTTCTTCAACCACATTCATTTTTATACATTCCTCCTAGAAGGCTGCTTGATCATTCCCTTAGTATAGGTCTAATTCATTTTTCTAGCGAGAATTGAGAGATTTGAACTCTCCAAGAAGCCATCCTATACGAGATAGAATACCGCAGAGCTCGACTGGATTCGTTCCAAGAGTCACTGCCAAATGCGATCCTTAGGGGACGTCAATTAAGCCAACCGCCTCACCCTATACAAGGAGCTAATTGTACTCGATCATTAATTGTAGACGGCATCGTTCACATTCCTTAGGTATGTCCACCATAGAAGAGAGAAATTTGAAGACTAGTGATAGTTAGTTGATTAAGAGCGGTCCGTCGTAGAGAGTAGACAAACTGACGTTTGACAGAATGATTAAACACGTCAAAGATCAACGATATAGCGTTTATTGGATCCATTATTGATAACTTTGTTATGGATATATAGTAAGGTGAAAACAAAGGCTAAAATGAGAGGGAATTTTCTGCGTCTTGGTCAAAATAAGTATTTCCCGTCAGTCACGTACTAGAGGTGTTGTAGCTTTAGGGGTAAATATATTCGCGTATGGATGGGAAATGGTCAAATTAGATCGCATTGCGATGGATTCTATTTTTAGAATTTTAATGATTTCATCTCCGTTGACTAGCTAGGTTAGGGGCTAGTGTACGTTAAAAGATAATGAATGATTGGGTGTAAGCGTTCTACTTTAGTTAGTCCCCTTAGTGCGCAGGGGTACGTTCTTCCTAGCGCGAAATGATTGGTTGGTCGAATTTCTATTACGTCAAAGCTATTAGTGGACGAGCGCGTACAACCTTACGTGAATTTGACCAATGGGGAATTGTACGGTTCATTTTAAAGGGTGCTCAGTATTGAGTAGTGGTGGACACTAGTAGGGTTATATTTATCTCAAAATGATTGATTTAGGGGAGCAAGGTTAATTAGGAGCTCCACGCAATATTAGTGGTTATTCTTGAGGCCTTGATTGAGTCCTCCCGTAAGGTACGGCTACAGGAGCCGTCACATAAGCGCCCGCTATATAACCTAATGCTAGGATGTGACACAAGGTGCAGGAACAGAAATGCGTGCATATTCATCGAGGCATATACATAAGGAAAGCGGAGCAGGTCAAGTTTCGTCGCTGTGATTCTAATTTCTCTTATATTTCCCGACGACATTATTGCCCTTGTTGTCGAGTAGAAAATAGTTTGCTTCTCCACAGCCATACACTATAGTTGTTCTCGAAATCGGTTTGACTAATGCACACTCAATCACTCTTTCATGGCCCCACTGCCAAGACCTTAGCGCAGATCTATTATTGAGCGGCCCTCGTTAAATTGAGGCGCCGTAAGCGTATAGTATCGTATGTTGCTACGTCACTTTACACAATCGTACAAGGCTATAATAGAATGCTATGGAATCTATAAGTTACTCTTCAATCAAATTTCTTTGCCCCTTTCGCCAAGACACTAGACTATATTCGGGTGTCTTCTGACGTTAGATCCACTAGATCCTTAAAATGAAGTTGATCACCATTAACTTATCTTATAAGGCACCCCGACTCCATTACATTTCACTACCCATCGTATAGTATCCGTTTCCATCCCTTTACTACATCTATCGCTATGGCCTCGGAGGCCTTCACTAGCTACCAATACCAATCCCTCATTAGCTCAAAGGCTATTCGTGTGTTAAAGATACTTAACCAAGAGCTCAGTGATTTGCCTTACTGCACCCTGACAGAAGTCGAGCTAGATACTCAGGAAAGCTATATAGCACTATCTTATACCTAGGGAAGTCCAGGGAAGGAGGCGACAGATCGGGGCGTCACATTAGAACAATATATGCAGATATTCTGCGAAACTGGTACTATCCCCGTCACCCAAAACCTTTTTGATTTCCTCAGAGACGTACGACAATTTCATCGCCACCTTCTTAAAGAATACATCTGGATAGACGCCCTCTATATCGATTAAGATAATCTCGATGAGCGTGCAGTATAAGTTGAAATGATAGGAGATATATACGCCTAGGCAAAGTCTGTGGTTATATAGCTTGGCAGGGCTAAAGAAACCACTTGCCTAGCATTGGATTTTATGACTATAATCGAGAGCGCCAAGATTCCCTTAATCGACGCCTAAGTGGAGAATCCCTAGTCCTTAAAAACGTTTCTGGGACTACTCGCGGATTTAAATAACCACTGGAATACATTGAAGCTGATTTTGGACCGCTCGTGGTTCTCGAGAACGTAGGTTCTACAAGAATTTTGTCTTGCTACCCACTTTTCACTACTTTGTGGTTAGTTTAAAGTAAGCATCGACAAAATTATCAAAGCTGCATCTCTCGCTATTAGCTTCCCAACATCCCGAGTAGGCAAAATGAATTCTCCTAGCGCCAAAATGGTGGATATACTTACACTGAGAAAAGGAATAAAGGAAAGGTCGCCTAGAAATCTCTTCAATATATTACTATATTCATCCAATTCCACTGCGACGGACCCAAAGGACTTAGTGTATGGAGTTCTCGGAATGATAAAGAGAGGTCTCTCGGATGCAAGTCCTCTTCGGAATTTAGAAGTGAGCTATTAAGTTTCCACCGCCGAAACATATACTAGATTCACAAGACTCCTCCTCTCAGAAGATCCACGATTATTATGTTTCCAGAATCATGATCCTCGCTTACAAGGATATACAAACATCCGACTAGAGCTCCCATCCTAGGTTCCGAACTATGCTAATGGGCTGAACTTGGCTTATGGAGACTTCGCATTCAAACCTTCAAATAATGCAGCAAAATCGCTACTTTCCTCGCCCTGGATAGTGCGACGACCTAATGGGTTAGTACTCAATACATAGAAGGTTGACGTTATTGAAGATAGGGTTGTTATCTACAAAGGCATATACGAGGGCTCCTAGATCGCTAGGGCACTACTAGATATACTTAAGTTTCTTTGCGCCTTTAAACCAACGTATTTTGATGGCCAACCACAAAGCCAGGCATTATGGCTTACTCT